TTCCCCCCCCCTTCCCCCTCCCCCCCCCCCCCACACACCTGCATGAGTGTGGGCATGATGGCGTCCTTCATCAGCACTGTGAGAGCTCCCCCGACACCAAGGTCGTCAGCGGTGACAGGCCGGCCTGTGCCGTACACCCCGGGGAGGGGAAAGGGTGGGGAGAGGGAGGCGAAAGGGGGAGAAAGGTCAAGAAACCCGGGGGAGGGGGGTAGGCACACGAGGGTGGACACGGGCACGGCGTGCACGCGTGCAGTAGTAGTGTGAAATGAAGAGGGGTAGGACGGACAGATATGATGGGACAGATAGGAGGGTTTCTAAGATTCGCAAAATACTTCATGTCCGCAACTCCTCCTCCTGACAGTGGGTGGGTGGGTGGGTGGGTGGGGAGCTAACTTAGGCGGGGGGATAAAGGGTGGGACTGAGGGCCAGATGAATGTGCCCAGCCCAGCCCAGCCCACCTCCCCCCTTTTTCGGCCCGACAAAACAAATCGTCAGATGCACCCACCATCGAAACCGCCGTCATAAAACCTCAGATGTGGGATCAGATCAGGACTTGCTGACCCCGCCAGCTCCAACCCAGCCCCACTGCCACACGCACACCCCCAGCCTCCAAATCCACATATAACCACCGTCCAGACAACCATTGCCCAAACGTCCCCCATCCTTTGGCGGTCGCACTTCCCCATCCAATCCAAGCACGCGCTCCCCCTCCGTCCCTCTCTCGTCTGGGTGGCCCCCGCCCTCATTTCTCCCGCTCCTCACCCTTCCTATCATTGCCCACCACCATCCTGCCCAGCCGCTCCCGCATGTCCGCCAGGTCTGTGGCGAGCGCCAGTACCGCCATGATTTCGGAGCTGACGGTGATGTCGAAACCCGTGGAGCGCGTGGCGCCCTTCTCCTCGGTGCCCTGACCCACCGTGATGCTGCGGAGGAACCTGGGGAGGAGAAGAATAGGAGGAAGAAGAAGAAGAGTAAGAGGGAAAAACAAAAAACGATCCGGATGGGACTCGAACTCGAACTCGAATTTGCTGGGGTAGGTGGGAAGGAAGAAAAGGAAACGCAGGACCGAATCGGAGAGAGGAAAAGGAGGGGGACGATGAGGGAACGTGTGAGATGTATTTGTCGCAAAACGTATGAGTGGAAATGTCACACAACCACGACGAAAACGTCGTAGTCCAGTAACGTAATGTAGTGGTAACGACAGCTGAAAACCTGTAAAGATGCTGACAGGATTATGTGTGTGCATATGCACTGTGTGTGCGGGTGGGGGGCCCCACAGGAGATCACGTGAACCAGGCTGGTCCTCGTGCCCCTGAATGTTGGCCTCAGCGCTGTGTATGTATGTATGTATGTATATATGTATGTATGTATATATGTATGTATGTATGTATATATGTATGTATATATGTATATATGTATGTATGTATGTATGTATGTATGTATGTATGTATGTATGTATGTATGTATGTATGTATGTATGTATGTATGTATGTATGTATGACTTAGATTACACTGTGGGCCGCGAGAGCCGGGGGCCGAAGCCGAAACACAGCGCAAGGGTCGGGAGCACACAGCACAAGTCGGTTAGTCTTGCGTGCTCCCGACCCCGACTCAGACTGCCAACACTCTACGCAGCCACTCCGCAGCCCCTCCATCCGGGGATGGCGCTGCATTGAATACACCACGAAGGGTTCTCAGGTCCCGCTAGGGCGAGTCCACAAGTCTCAGCTAGGGCAAAGTCAAAGGCTCTCTGAAACAACCCCCCAAAACACCACCAACGAAAACGGGATTCGAAGGGAAAACAAACAAACAACTAAAAGTTGGGTTAGGGCAGTCCCGGCAGGGGGGGGCTCCTGATATACCTAACAGGCCAACAAAAAACCTCCAAGAGAGAAAGGCTAAGAGAGCTCGACACCACAAGACGTCTTGCAACCACCTTAAAACAACTGACCTCCACCACCTGTCCCTTCCTGGGCTGGTCCAGGGGAGAAGTAGCCTTATAAAGAAAAGGGATCCCGCACAAGCCTGATCACCACTGCAGGGGCCCGGGATAGTCCGGCGAAACGACCAAAGCGTTAGCGTTGCCACGACACACAGCTCCTAGACCCTCCAGAAAACCGCAGGGGGAGGATTGTAGCCCGCGCGGCGCCTCCCCCTTACCGCCACTAACCTGAACGGTTGGTCCTCCAGAAACCTATTCACCCTGTCTCGTACTGCACCGCTCTCACCTTCGTCCCTCACCAAGCAACCCAGTCCCACAGAGAAGACGTGTCTAAATAGAATGGCCCTCCTCGGGCCACACCTCCCCCTCATCCGAGCCCCGCTACCACCACCAGACCTCAACCTCCCAAACACCAGAAAACCTACGTCCTTATGTATGTATGTATGTATGTATGTATGTATGTATGTATGTATGTATGTATGTATGTATGTATGTATGTATGTATGTATGTATGTATGTATGTATGTATGTATGTATGTATGTATGTATGTATGAACCCGAAAATGTACATATGCATGTGCGTGACACGGGGAGGGATGGACAGCATCAGTGCGCCAATGCCCTGCTGCACCTCCTGTCAATCCACAGGCCCTACCTGCTCTCGGGACGGTCCTTTGGAGGGTAAAAGCGCTATACCGGTAGTAATAGTTCCTAGCTGATAAACTGTAACAGTAACTGTAACTGTAACAACTGTAACCGACACGGCCATCCCACCCCAGGCCCTACCTGTCATTGGTGTCAATAACCCGGCGCCAAGTGATGGAAGCGGGGTCGATGTCCAGACGAGCAAACTCGCGACGTTCCTGCGGTTTTTAGTTGCGGCGGCATTGTTAGCGGTTGGTGGTTAGTCGGTAGTTTATGCCCGATTGGTTAGTCACACCTCACACACACATGAGTTAAGAACGACGCTCCCATCATCATTGTTTGGTTGGAGAAACACTCAGCTATTGTTTATCAGGTCCGGAGGTGTAGCTGGGGCCGTGCATGCAGTTCGCCGTTACCAGTTACACACACACACACACACACATACATACAGACAGACGGACACGGACGAAAAAGCAAACACACTGCTGCTGCTCCGCTGGGTTTTCCCGCTTTGTTCACCGGTTGGTCAACCTGAAACTGCTTTCACGGAAAGGGGTTCGTTGCGGCCCCCTTTAAGGGGGGGGGAGGGAAGGGGGCACCTGCCCTGTGCTTGTCGTCGCGCATCGCGCGCGTGCGGTAGCAGAATGACCTCTGCTTTGTCCGCGCAGCCTTGCAAAGTGGAAACACTTTTTAGGGGGCCGTGCCCAAGAAACAACAGGTTATGCTCGACTAATGAACCTATCAGGTAAACTTTTAGGTACTCGTGCGCTCATGTAGCTCACAGGTCTAATTGCTTTTCGGGCTGGTGCTACGAGTGCTTATTTGAATGCTTAGGACTGGAAAATAGATTTTTAGGTTCTGCGTGGTTCTAGGACTCCGGGTGCCCTGGTTGTCTGTGTCGTCAGTTCCAGCCGCCCGCCACCTGCCACCCTGTCGAAGCGCGGCGGCAGTACACAGTACTGCTGTAGTGCATGTTTTAAGAGAAATACACAACTATAATTTTCTTTCTGGAAAGACTGTCATGCCTGTCGAAGAAGCGTTCGCAAGAACGTACCGGAACCGGTTCATTCAATGATGTGCACGATACCGACTCTCGAGAAGCTCCAGAACGATTAAAAAAATCATCTTTGCTTTCACAGTCACGACATGAAGTTCAGAATTCATACTTTACTCAGGATCGGTTTACACGGTTGATGCCGCGGTTTACCGGGGGAGTGCTGGCCTGAGACACAGACATTTCTTTCCTACGTCCGTACCTTCGCGCCGCGTTTTGCCATTGCAGCGCCGCCGCTCATTTCTAGGGCTCTTGACATCACCTTTCGAATCAACATCTACTTGAAAACCCACCACATCTAGGTCTACAAGTGTTTATGAAAATTCTAACACGTCGCCGGCCTTCAGATCTCGCTTTGATATGAAGACATTTCCCTCATTTCGCGGCTCCGAAAATCATTAAAAAACATACATACATGCATACATACATACAAACACACAGAAGAAGCTTCTCAAGTCGCCTACCTCGGGTGTCAGCTCGTCCGGGTCGGTTTTGTTGATGCCTAATTTGGCAAGTCGGCGCAACATCACAGTAGCGAACTTGCGCTTACCCTGGGGCACAGACGGGGGGCCGGGCGGGGGAGCGGGAGCGGGGGCGGGGTAGGTGGGTGAGTGGCTGGGTGGCAGTGGTGGGTTTGGGCTAATGCGCCGTAAATGCGTCTCCTTAGCCGGTGCTCTGGGTTTTAGGTTTTAGCTGCATTTGCCGGGGGGGTTCAGAGCTGAGGAGCGCGGATTGCCTCCGCTCCGAAACCAACCCCATGACACCGCTGTGACACCCCGACACACTTTTAGCCCCCAGTCGATCCGAAACTCTTTTTCATCGCCCATTACCTGCTGTTCCACCACCGTCCCAACCCACCACCCTCCCAAAATACACACATACATACATACACATACATACATGTAGCGAGACCTGAGAGCCCTTCGTGGTGTATTCAATGCAGCGCCATCCCCGGATGGAGGGGCTGCGGAGTGGCTGCGTAGAGTGTTGGCAGTCTGAGTCGGGGTCGGGAGCACGCAAGACTAACCGACTTGTGCTGTGTGCTCCCGACCCTTGCGCTGTGTTTCGGCTTCGGCCCCCGGCTCTCGCGGCCCACAGTGTAATCTAAGTCATACATACATACATACATACATACATACATACATACATACATACATACATACATACATACATACATGCATACATACATACATACATACATACATACATACATACATACATACATACATACATACATACATACATACATACACATGCACATACACACGACACTCACACGCGCACACATGTTGCATTTACCTGCTTGTCCGCCGGGCACAGTCTGTTGAACAACGCCTCGTCGCTCTGGCTGGCTTCGTGGAACATGCGCACATCGATTGCGGCGGCCAGCAGGTTGTTGGCGGCGGTGATGGCGTGGATGTCGCCTGTGAGGTGCAGGTTCATCTCCTCCATGGGGATAACCTGGCGGGGTGCGGTGCGTGCGGTGCGGTGAGTTGGGGGCAACACAGAGACCGGGGGAGGGGGGGAAGGAGGGCGCCCAAGGGAAGTGAGTTTAGGCAGTGGCTGACCCCTAAGACAGCTTTTTGCCAAATCACACATACATACATACATACATGCATACATACATACATACATACATACATACATACATACATACATATATACGTATATATGTATATATACGTACATGCATACATACATACATACATGCATACACGAGTACACTGTAGCCAGTACCTGGCTGTAGCCGCCACCCGCCGCACCGCCCTTGATGCCGAAGGTAGGGCCCTGGCTGGGCTGCCGTACACACGTCAGCACCTGGGGAAAGGAGCGAGTACGGTAACAACCGAGGGCAGGTAGGCTGGGGCAGGGAGGTGGGGTTTACAGGACCGGCTGTGGAAAGGGGCCTTGTGCCGTACTGGTTTCGGATCTGAGAAGTCCCAGGGCCGCTGCGAGGCGAAAACTAGGCGACCAAAGGGAGGTGTTGAAAGAGAAAAAAACACTGTTGTAGTACGACAATTGCTTGGCACAAAGGAAGGCTGAGACTTGCTCAGGGCGTTGGAGAATAATGCAACGTACTCCACTAGGGACATCACCCCCTCACAGCCGCCCCAGTCCCCAGCCCCTCCTCTCCCCCCCCCAAAACACACACACACACACACACGCACACACACAAGCACAGCTAGCCAGTCGCACCTTCTTCTTAAGGTACGCTCCGAGCGCCTGGCACAGCCCAATGGTGGTGGTGCTCTTGCCCTCGCCGAGGGGGGTGGGGGTGATGCCCGCCACCACCACTGCGGAGCCCGGGAAGGGGGAGGAGGGGGGTGTACAGCGGGAGGGGGACGCGGCGGAGAGGAGTCGTGTGGAGGCGTGGTTGGGGAGCTGGTCGGCGGCAGTGACGGGAGCCAGAACAGGTAGGTAGGTGGGTATGTAGGTATGTAGGTATGTAGGTATGTAGGTAGGCATGGAAAGGTGGCACCGGGCAGTGCAATGCGGTTAGAGGGTCAGCGACTGGGCGTGCAACTAGTTGCCCTGGTAGTGTGGGGCACAGCAGGAGAAGCTTGGCGCGCATGTACGAACAAGACTTAGGGCCGGCGGGCGTTCGCGCCAATTCGCTTCAGCTGTCACTCAGCCAACGTAATCCCGTACCATCGCGCTGCATTGATACCAACCCAGTTCGACGTTGCTCTGTGCAAGACACTGAAGTGTATGGGATGAATATTGTACGACATTTCGAATACCAGTAGGGATGGCACAGCCGGCTGTCAAGTGCCCAGGCCATCATGTTTTGTGGTGGTCCCATCTCCTATTGATAGCCTCTGTCACAGTAGCTGCAGCACCTTCACGCTAGCGCAACATGAAGCCTCTCCTAGAGCCCGCTTGCCTAAACGCATCACTTTAAATGCATTTCGGCATACCATATTTTCCATCTGGAGCTCCCGCCAAGCGATCGCGGACGCTGAGCTTCACCTGAGGGGAAGGGGTATAGACGATTATCATCAGAATCCCTTTCTTCACTGGTCTTCAGAGCAGACATATTGCCCCCGACTGGAAATATATATTCATACTGGTTGTTTCCGTCTACATAGAAGTCGCGAACGTCAGGTTTAGATCTCCCCAACGCCTCGGTCGGGTCCATGGCGATGCAGGATCCTGCTTGCGCGTCTGCTGGACTTTGCCGACAGCCCATCACATGCACTTTTTTTATGTGCGACATGCTATCACACCTTGGCTTTGTGGGTTCCATAAAGATCATATTCATCGGGAAGCAAGCCGACAGCCTCCGCGATTTTAGCGATGTGCACCGGCTCCACCGACTGCGCGATCTCAATGTCCGATGGCACAGGCTGCTTCACAGGGAGCAAAGGTTTGTATTCCGTCGCTGCCATTTTGCTGGTTGAGTAGCCTTGTAGAATCACGCTAAGCAAGGAAAATGTCCAACGAGGGTTACCATATGCGCGGCGAATGAATTTCAAAATTGCGATTGCTTACATCAATGTCCATGTGCCTGCCGATGTTCACGCGTTGCGTGTTAGGTTTCGCGTTGCGTCGTAGGTTGACTCGTACAGGGAAGGTAGGCCAAATATTACACAGCAGGAGAATCATGATTTTGATCCGACAAAACCGACACAAGTCATGTAGAAAAGGTTGCCACCCCAAAAGAACAGTGTTCAAACATGACGATGACAACAGGCCTACGACGACAAACCCGGGGAAATATCGCGCGCGTAGAACAGGACGCCGGGTTTTCCACATACACACCTCCATCAACCCGCTCCAGCTACGCCGAGCACCCCCATTCGTCCATTTCTGAAATTAACGATTATGGATCCTGTAGCTAAGGCAACAGTGGCCCCAAAAGGCTCCAAGCAAAGGAGAGGGCAAGGCACTAAGCTGTGCAGACTGTCCCTTGCTTTGGGGGCCGGATGCAAACGGAGGTCCAAACGCACGCTTAACGGAAGGCCGAGCTTGCCTGTAACGCTGGTATTCGGGCCCCATACCCGTTACCACAGGCTTGAACACGCATGGGGTTCACAAAAGAAATGCCCTACACCAAACGGGACATGCTCCCCAAGCAACTCCTCAATTAATTGGCTCCAGAGCCTCTATCGTCTGGATGCTGTTCCCGCGAATAACCACCATGCCGATGTCAACCTTGAGCTTCTCGTCCACTGTTTGGTCAAGCACCACATTCATAAACTGGTCAAAACCACGTAGCGTCCCTGATACGTGCCGATTAGCGTTCAAGTGAACTGCGCATAGCAGGAAAGGAGGTGCAGTTACGACGGCGCAGACCAGAAAACGTACTATTCAGAGCAGGTTATGTCGTCATCAGATGCTTACTGCTAAGCTTCTTGTCCATGAAGCGCTTCAGCTCTGGAGGCGCAACCTTTGGCATTTCCGCACAAATATGAAGGCCCTATCGACTGCCGAGATCGTTCTTCTGGAACGAAAAGCTGAAATAAGGTTGTAGATTTTACGAGTACAAATGCTGTAAGCTGCGTGGGGAAAACGAGCGATGTAAGCAGCGATCGGACTGGAGGAATTGACTGTATAGACAGGTTAACCTCTTCACAAGCACTGACTACGTGAAGGGACAAATGTGAACATTTACCACTGTCTCGATGATAATGACTGTGTCCTTTTCCATGTACTTCGCCGCCCAAGGCCGTACGGCGGACACCGACAGTGCGAGCCAATGCGAAAACATCCTCAGCCATGGCTTACATCTCACAGGTTACAAGTACAACCCCCGTGGCACATCAAGGCACTTAACATGCTCATACACAAGTAGACTTCCGCGACTTCAACCCTTTTTGACGACTTAGGACCTAACCCCCCGTCCCCAATCCCAAGCATCTTAGGCTCCCTCATTCCTCACTCAGGATCAACCCGACACAGCTCACGAAGACACCCCACTGCCACGCAAGAAGACCAAACGTTGGCCTTGCAACTGCCATACGGCCAGATGTGCCGATGGGTCTTCGAGCAGGGCCACGCACACTCGCGCCAGTGTTCCAACTACCACATACGCCTTCAGCCCTTCCCTCCCCTAAGCTCCAGCCGCATTCCTCTGTCCCCCGCAGCCAGCTCAGGTTCCTGGTGCGCGTCTTCCTCCTCCTCCCTCTCTCGCACTCCGGTTCTCGGTCCTGCTAACCTCGCTCCTGAGCTGCTTACCGTCCACACAGTGCTATTGTTGTAAATTGTAGCAGCTACTATAAGTCGCAGAATAATCCCTTCACCTCCTCCCTCCTCCCTCCTCCTCCCTCCTCCCACCTCCTCCCTCCTCCCACCTCCTCCCTCGTAACCACCAAGACATCAGTACCTGCACCCCTGCCGGCGGCGATGAGACTCTCCGCCACATCTCTCATCCCCAAAACCACATCATTCTATCATTCTTTGCACCTCAGGCCCCGTCTCTGTATAGCTCGGTAGCATAGTACCGGTGCCCAACCGGCTTGGGTTAACACTGGCTGAGTGTGTCGGCGGGAAAGGGTGCAGATAGAGACCCTCGCACGTGGTACGACACATGCTTGGTAGCGGTAGTAGCAGCTGTTGCCTGTGCTGCTGCTGCTATGTAAATGCTACTGCTGGCGAATGGGTGTCATTTTGCTCGGCTCCGTAGAGCAGTTGCTTTATCAGCTGCCGCCAGGAAGGTTGCGGCGCCATCAGGTCGACCTTCTCCGTTGCCTCCATGGGTGGTGGCGGTGACAGTGGCGGTGGTAGGGGTGGTGGTGGTGGTGGTGGTGGTAGGGGTGGTGGTAGTGGCGATGGTAGTGGCGGTGGTAGTGGCAAAGCCCTTGCCTTTTCCCGCTTTCGATGCGGCTGCTGTCCATCCCGCCGACTTCTACTGCTCAGATTTCTCCTTGGCTTCGAGCACCTGTGCACGGCAGGACAGTGAATACGTTATAGAACCGTGCCGTCTTGTGTAACAGAGGGAACATTAGCTTGCGTAGGAGAAAAAATGACGGAAGCAGTACCGGTACGCAACTAAGTAGCCATGTGTGCACTTTTGTGTCAGTCAGAATGGTTGATAATAATAATACACAATAAGTATTGAACCACCGTGGACTCAAAATGGAGGAAAGTCAAGGTGCATTCATTCCCGGAACCCAGGGAACCGCGCCTTAGCAGTCGTTGTTGTGCCAATTACGACACACATTACCCGGCAATATACATGAAGACCAGGCAATTGTTGCCATTATGGTGCTGTCACCGCCGTGCTGCCGTACTGCCGCATGCTTCGCCGTACCGCCGTACCTTGCGGATGATGACGTCCTTGGGTGCCTGGTAGCTGATGACGGTATCCATGACGGCCAGCCCGAGCGCTGGCCATGCGATGAGAGTAGAGATCTGCTGAAATGGGTTTCGGGGCCAGGCAAGGAACGCAGAAATCCGTTGAAAGTCTTTTTCATGGAAACACACGAGCAGGTGAGTACGTAGAGATCGAGGGGAGAAGAAAAAATGAGGGTTGGAGAGGGGATGTGGGTCAAGTTCGGGAGAGGGGGCCGGTGATTTTCTGGGGGAGGCGCTACATGTCCCAGACTAGGCCTTGAAATCGGCCGAAGCGCTTCCTTCCCAAGCCCTTTGAGGCTCGGGCCCTTAGTCCTTACCCGCCACGGCCATAGTTGCCGCTTATTGAAGTAGTATCTGGATGCTGCGAGGCGGGAGTTCGTGGGATATTGGTCAAATCGGTGCTATGCGGACTTCCGGGGCTTTGGACGATGAGAGCTTTGTGGCTGGGCCCTGGTCCGAGTCTTGACAAGAAGGAGAGCGCCAGTGTTACTGAAAAGCTCACCTGCTGCAGCTACTAATCCGATACCTAGTTTGATGTCTCTTTGAGAGATGTCCATTAGGGTAGCGTTTTTCACTTTCCACTATATTTACCAAATGATCACCTGGCTGCAATGTTCACAGAGTTCATTCAAATGAATACTTCCGCTTTAGGGCCAGCATTGCTTCATGCCGGGTTGCTTTACAGTTGGTTATTTATCTCGTCCCATTATACGGCGACCGTTAAGCTGATTGAAGCTGGGAAGCCGAAGGTCGATACGCGAGGAAGGCAGTCAGCTACACGGCTCCCGCTCTGTTTTTTGTGAACTGAAGTAGCACAAAGCTTCATCGTCTGGTGACTTGGACGGCTTCCGGTAATCTCGATTGCGGCGGCGCCACTTTAAATTTCTATCTGAGGAATGCACCAGCGATACCTGACGCCCTCGTTCCACGGACCTCTGCGGCTGCGGGTGTTGTCTGTCCGTGCCGGGCGGCCATCGGGAGGGTCAACGACGTGAGTTCTGGCTTTTATTTTATTTGGTTCCTTAACTACGAATTGAGGACTAGCCCATATCATAGCTGCCATTTATATCACTGAGGCATCGTAACCGGAAGGGTTATACCCGGTTGGCATGCCCCTGACCGTCTGGACGAGCAGCCCTAACGCTGCCATTGCGCAGCAAGACGTTTATCGGTCACTATATCTTCTTGATCAAGTGCTTCTTACTGTCTTGAAAATCATACCCGCATAATCTCTGCAGCAAAGTGATTAGCTGGGATCCTTCGCCCGCCCATGTCTGCATTTCCCCTTTCCCAATTAGAGACTTGCCGTGGCTGCCAGAGCTCAGGCCGCTTTAAACACACCAACACAGATGATATGTCGAAAACGACTTGGGAAAAGAATCCTGTTGTATTGGACGCATCCGCCACAAACAAGGCATGCAGGCGGCCACCCCCTCATTGACATGGCTTTCCGCACCCGCCACAAAATGAACGTGACAGACACCCAATCATCATTTTCCTGTTGGCTCCTACTTCGCTCGTGTTCATCCATTATCACTCCGTCTTTAATGTAGAGTCTACTCTCTTTTTATCTATTTTCTGGGGATTTCGTAGATACAAATCGGAGCGGCCTGGCAGCTCTCGAGACAGGCCATGGGCTGGCAGAGCCAATCGGGGCAATGAGGACGAGCGAAGGGACGAGCGTAGGTACGGCAGTCAAGGCGACGGCGAGTACGGTGGAGGCAAACGGTACGGCGCTCACCGACAGCGTGAATCCGGCGAGGGACGCCGTGGGGAGGACGAGTGGCGGCGGCGGCGGCACGGCGGTGACGGCCATGATGGCACCAACCGTCGCAACTGGCCGGTTTCGGAGGCGACATCGGGCCCAGATAACCGGCGGGCGCAGCAAAAGCCGCTTTCTGGAACAGCAGCCGAGCAGCCGCAACAGTTGAAACGGCGCGAACGGGATGATTACGGTGACGGAGGAGATGACAGAGGGTACGACACCGAGTACGACGAGGCTTCGTACGAAGACGCAGGTGAAGGTGATGAGCGGACTGGCGCAGCTGGCGGCCGCCGCCGCAATGAAGGCAGCGCCGCTGGCCCTTGCTTACGTGATACACTCCAGGGAGAGGCGTTGTACGGCGTGTTCCCCGTACTGGCGGCGCTGCGGGCGAAAAGGTGCGGTGCCTGACTGCGACTGACGAAGGGAGAGGTCGGGGCCTCGAGAAGACGTCGAACAGAAGCGTGATGTCAAGAGCCCGTGGGCGGGTGGGCGGGTGGGCGGGTGGGTGGGCGTTACGAGCATATTCGCGAAAATAGTACTGAGTTGTGCACACATACATACATACACACACGGTCTTTCCGTTGGGGCTGGGTCCCAGCCCCTGGCCAGTGTCAGGCCCGGTCAGATTCTTGTAACCTTCACACACACACACACACATATACACACATATACACACATATACACACATATACACACATATACACACACATGTATACACACATACACACACGCTGGTGGTGGTGGTGGTGGTGGTGTCACGGGAAACATCTGCCTAGTAAGCCCCCAGTAATAGGCCTTCTCCTCTTTCCTGCGGGATGAAGGGCCTGCTAAACTAACGGTCGGGTTATAGGGTCCGTGCCGCTTTGTCTTGCTTGCTTTTCTTCTCACATATCCTTTTCCTCATACGCCTCCGCACACATCTCCCTCCGTTTCCTTCCTTTCTTTCTCTCCTGGTGATTGATCTCCTCACGGCTCCCCCCCCCCTCAACAACGACAACGTGGTTCGTCTTCCCCCCCCCCCGCTCCAACCAACCTTTCGGCTGGCGGGCGGCGAAGGCGGAAGGTGCACCGGGCCTTCATTCTCTCATCCATGGACCTGTCCAAGCGCAAAGATGCGGGACTGGTACGGCAAGTGGAGGCGCTGTGTTCGGAAGCCGGGGTGGAGGTGGTGCGTACTGGCCGACATGAACTCAACCTGATGTCGTACGACCGACCGCACCAGGTTGGTAGGGAAGGTTTCTGTTTCTGTTTTTCTGGTTTCGGAGTTTTAGGGTCTTCGGATTTTCGGATGACGCGTTGACGGGCGGCTTGGTTTGGCCGCCAGGTGCGCCAGTGCCGCCAGGTGCACAAAGTAAAACCGTTAGTGGATCCGATCGTACGGTTTGTACGGCAGGTTGGGTTTGGGCATCAATTATTGTGGCCACGGCATAGTTTTTGCGGGAAGGACGGTGAAGGGTATTGTTGCGCCTGCCTACACGGAAAGGGTGCTGGGGGCCATATTTTATTTATTATTGTGGCGCTTTTCCCTTTCGCAAAGTACACAAATCAGTGTGACATCGTCGGAAAGCGATGCCTGTCTGCAGGGTTTGGTTCTCGACGTCTCCCCCCTGGAGTTGGCCGAAATGGACGAGTTTCCGCCGGCGGATGAGGTCATCGCGGCAGCGGCGGGTGCCGTACACGGTGGCGCTGCCGGTACGGCAGCTCCGCCTGTATGGCTCGCGCTGGACGAGGTGGTTGACCCGGTGAGTGGTTGGTTGGTTGGTTGGGGCGGGTGGAGGGGTCAGGGGTGTGTGTGTACATGAGTATGTGTGTGTGTAAATGAACTGAGCCGCGAGATGTACATACATGCATACATACATACATACATACATACATACATACATACATACATACATACATACATACATACATACATACATACATACATACATACATACCGAAGACAAGTAGTAGTCCGGGAACGCAGTGATAGAAAACAGCTGAAAAGGTTTCAAGATGTGGATGGGAAAAAGAAAGGCGGCCGTGCGAGAAAAAAGAAAATAGAAATGGCTGGAGGCGCTGTCGTGGCGATAAGGACTACTACTGGGAGGAGGGGTGGCGGCGGTGATAGTGGGCGGCTACAGAGTCGACTGATGTCATAACCGCTACTACTGCCACACGGGCTACGCAAGGGCCTTTTTTTGTCCCAACTAAAGAACTCTGGAACTCTGAGCAGAGAGGACCTTTCCATTGTCCGGTCGTAACTAGCTATCTAGCTAACTGACGGACAACTGGGGGGGCAAGGGCGGTCTATGCGTCAACCCCGGATACCACGTCAACGATGATGATAAGGGTGGGTGCCGAGGCCCCCTCCCCCAGGGGCACAAGAACCCCTCCCGTGAGTGAGTGAGTGAGTGAGTGCGGAATGTTGGCTGAATGCACTCTCAGCATGCACAGCACAGCAGCGGCTCCTAAAGCCCGAGGTCTCAGCTCAAGGCGGGTCCCGCTGCAGCTGCCGGTCTCGGAGCCCCTCCCGGGTATGTCTTCTCAAAGCTTCGGAAATTCTGAAACCCTTCCCAACGTTCAACCTCTTCCTTACGCCGTACCATGTTGTATGGCTTCTTGAACCCCGCGCAGCAAAACCTGGGTGCTGTGGTAAGGTCGGCTTACTGCCTGGGTGCTGGGGGAGTGCTGGCCTGCGCACGTAACTGCGCCCCCTTGAGCGCTGTGGTGTCCAAGGTGGGGGAGGGGGTGGGAGAGGGGGTGGGGGAGGGGGTGGGGGAGGAGCC